CGTGGCCCTGTCGCCGTGGTGCCGTGGCCCACCAGGCGACAAGCAGCACAAACCATAAACCCGGAGAGCCGGAAGACGCCAATATGTATAGGGGCCTTAACATTTTTAGTAGGGCTTTGGGCCCCCGAAAAAACTGTACTCATATTAAGGAATCCGTAGTTATTAAGGCTCCTATAGTAAACGGAGGAACCGGGAGCGTGGAGATCAGGTTTCGGGGGCCCTTCTTCTGCAGACGGCAGAGCGTTGATGGCTCCGGTTCACGGTTTAAGATTTGGTTTCCGGTCACTGTGAATCCCTGCATATGGCCCCAAGCCCCGAACCCTAAATAAACCCATATACACATTTATACACATATAATATGTGTTTGCATACATATATACACATATATATATATATATATATGTATGTATATATATATGTAACCTACAAATGAATAAACATAGAATGAATAAATATCAATATCATAAAATATCATAAATGTAATAAATAAGAATAATAGTCCTAATAATATGTATACATACATACATACATACATACATATATATATATATACATATATATATATATATATATGAAGCCCCATCGAGGCGCTTAGGTTCAATTCTTCGGAGCTCCCTGTTCACCACAGGTGGCCAGCAGCACGCGAAGCTCGCGAGGGCCCAGAAGCTCTGAGAGTTCTCTTGAACTTCTCCACCGTAGAAGCAAGCTGATATGCTAGGTAGGCCTTTGGGACATTTTACATATCCGCTGCCCTAGAGGATCTTATTTGCGAAGATTTTAAAACAGCTTTATCGGGCCAGACTAGTAATATAGGAGTCTGATTTAACAGACCTTGGGTCTTCATTGGGCGGGACACAGGACCAGGGTTTCTGAAATCACGTACGTTCCCTACGTTAGCGACGGCAGTAGATGCGAAGTAGGGTTTTGGGCAGGAGTCCAGGCATTACGGTTTGGTGGTTTAATGAAGGGTCAGTCAGGCTCTGTTTTGACTTGCTTCTTTGTTCCTTGTTCTAACTAACTGTTCATCTGTGCGGGTAATGACGAGGTTGCCGTGCAAGGCTCACCGGCATCTCACTGCGAGATCCTTTGAAGCCTTAAGTAATGCCTATATGACCATGACAACTTGATATCATTTGCACCCTCAGCCGGGTTTACTGTGTAAGGGTTAAGGCTTGCGCTGGCCTAAAGCTTGCAAGACCAACGATGGTGGCTGCAGAACCGCAAACTGTCTGCACTCATGGGCAAAAAGTTTCGCTCGCAGCCATCAGGTTTCAGTTCGAAACAGGGCCTTAATAATTACCTATATACTACTAAAGTTGGTGGTTCCGTAAAATATTATAATTATGGTACAGGCCCTCAAATCCGATTCCAAGTATTAAGGCCCCTGCCTTAAGTTTTTGGTCCCTGCAGGTCCCACCATGTCCCCACTGGGCCCCATGGGCCGCAACAACCCCAAGCGGCACAGTGCAACCCTCAGAAGCCCCCTCCACAATGGCCTCTTCGCCACTCTGCTGATCTATGTGTCTATGAACCTCACGGCTCGTTGGTAGGCGCACGAATGCGTTTGCATGTCTCCATTGTGCATGTATCCATGTGCTCCGAGTGTGCGCCTGTGGGGTACACTCTGAAGACTCCTCCATGCCTGGATCTTCATCTTGAGTCTACCCGAGATGAGTAACAGCTGGTAGGATCTTAGAGGTTGAGGGTATGGACCCTAAGCCCAGATCTACAAGCCAAACATCAAAAGACCTGCCCCCTGAAGCCTAAAACTTGAAGCAAATCCGAACATGGCACCCTCAAACGAAAGCCGTGCGCTGATCTAAAGTCCACACCAGAAAACTTTAAGCCGTTTGTCTCCGCATGCTTCACTGCTATAGTAGAAGCCAGAAAGTTGGAACATGGCTTTAGGAGGATTAGTGCCAGGATCCCTTATACTTTCCCTTAAGACCATGAGGACAAAGATGTTCCAACTTTCTGGGTTTTACTATATTCTGAATTTCCAGGCTGTTATTGCGTGATTTATAAGCTGGGTGTCGGGGGATGAGGCGGCCTACAAATCTAACACAGTTGAAGACTGTTATGCACAGCCACGGCGAGATGCGTTGTTTTAAACGGAGGGGGGTGTCGGGTGCTTTAGGGTTCGGGGTTTAGGGGTTTAAGGGTTAAGGGTTAAGGGTTTAGGGTTTAAGAATATAAGGGTCTAAGGTTTCAAGAGTTTAAGGGTTTAGGATGCTGAGATTGTCTACGGTTCTTCGATCGTAAGTCGTGCAGACAGCAGCATACTCCCGGTGGGAGGGCTGCCATCACCATAGTCGCTGTGCTTGGTGTTGTTGCTATGCTGTTCAGTGTGACGATGTTTTCCGTTTTGGCGACCATGAAGATGCTGGTGAGGATGGCGATGGTGACAGTCCGGGTGGAGGGTAAAGATAGCATTGCATATGATGCTGGTAATGTGAAGGTTGATGATGATGGTTGTGGTGATGACCGGTTTTGGTTCAATCCCTAAACCCTGAACACATAAACCCTGAAGCCAGAACCTACAAACGTAAACCCGCAACCCAGAACCCTAAACCTGAAGGTTCTCCAGATTGGGGTCCCTCTTTAGGTCCCCAATATAGTACGGCACCCTTATAAAACGGACATTAAACGGGACCCCAATTTCGGAAGCTACCCCTTTCCTTTATGAACCCTAAACCCTAAACCCTAAACCCCTAAACCCTAAACCCCTAAACCCTAAACCCCTAAACCCCTAAACCCCTAAACCCCTAAACCCTAAACCCTAAACCCCAAACCCTAAACCCTAAACCCTAAACCCTAAACCCCAAACCCCTAAACCCTAAACCCTAAACCCCAAACCCTAAACCCTAAACCCCTAAACCCTAAACCCCAAAAGAGCCCGCAAAAAAAAAAAAAAAACTTAAACCCCAAACTCTAAATCTGGAGCTGGGGGAGGCCATAGACTCCAAGCACTGCGAGACCCAGATCTTCAAGCCTCCACGTCGCAGCCCAAGGGGCGCTTCATGGCTCTTGGGAAGTCTTTAGAGCATTTAGGGGTTTCGGGTTTAGGGTTTAGGGTTTAGGGTTATATGGGTTTAGGGTTTAGGGTTTAGGGTTTCGGGTTTAGGGTTTCGGGTTTAGGGTTTAGGGTTTAGGGTTATATGGGTTTGGAGTTTAAGGTCTACCAGTGTAGGGTTTAGGAGTAGCTACTACCACACCCCTGAAAGCTAAGCCCCTAAGCCCTTGACCAGCCTAACCCCCCCGAGCACGAAACGATGGCACTACAGGTCGCAGGCGAAAAGCGGGATATCCCACATAAATCCCGGTAAGGTCGGGATATGCTTGGGGGTGTTTTTTCGGGCCCTTACAAGAGTGGTTCGAGAGCCCAAAATTCTATACGGTTTGTGAAGTTAGTTAAGGTTGCTGTAAGGGCTCTTCGAGGGTCTCTTGAGGGCTTTACGAGGGCTCAACTGTTAGAGTTTTCAAGGGTTGTTGAGGTTTGCCTGGGTTGGGTGGCGATTTACACCAGGTTCCACTGCAGGATCTTACTTTCGTGCTTTGGGGGTTTCCGGGTTGCCATGTCCACGGGAGCTAAGAGAACGCTATACACATGATAATCGTAAAAACAGCCCCCAAACCGTATTCTATCCCCTATATGAGGCTGCTCCCTGGTTTTGCGCTAGGGCTTCTGTCTTTGGTCTTCAGAGTTTTGGTAGGGTTTAGGGTTTAGTGTTCAGGGTTTGGCGTCTAGGGTTTGTTGAGGGTTCAGGGTTTGGGCTTAATGTTGAATTGCTAAGAATGCCCGCGCCCTCCTCGGTTGATTTCAAGCCCCGGGGCAGGGGGTCGATAGTAGTGGTAGTAGTAACAGGGGCCTTAACGATTTACTTATACTCTTTTGGGGAGTCCTTATTATACATCTACCCCAAAACCCCATTATTCTAATGATTTTGGCACTATAGTACGCGGTCAGAGAAGAGTTTCTCTCTGGTCGGTCCCCACCTCTGCGTTTGAAGCAATCAGATAACAGTAACTGACTCCAAAAACAATTAGAGGCTTTAGGAACGGATCATTGTTGAGTTTTCTGGGTCGAGCTTGTTAAGTGGAGGGGGCAGGGTTGTAATGGAATTTCCGGACGGACTGGAGTTTCTGTTAATCGAGGGTTTTGTCAAGGCAACCTAACATTAGCCGAAACCCAAACCCTAAACTCAAACTCCTAAACCCTACACTCTAAACTTTAAGAGCGAGAGGGTGATCTTCAAAAGAAAACTTTAAGCCCCAAGAGCCCAAAGCCCTAAAACCTAGACCCTAAGCTCGGGAGACCGCTCCAAATCGCAGAAAAGGAGTTCAGAAAGCAAAGACCCTGAGCCCTAAGCCAAAACCTTGACCCGAAACAAACCCCAAGGGGCCACTGCACAAAAAAGCAACCCCTAAACCTTAGACCCTAAACCCTAGTTAGACCCTACCCTAAGGCCCCAAAGTAGTTCCTTTTTTAGGATTACCCTATAGGGATCTATATGTGAACCCCTTAGGGTAAACTTAACCTATATAGACCCTAAACTGAACCTATATCGACCCTAAACCTTAAACCTTAAAACCCAATTAGACCCTAAAACTGAACCTAGACCCTAGAGAGCGACGTGGAAGGCAAAGAGGCGGTTCAAGACAGCTTCGACTACGAGGTCAGCATGGGCTGTAGGGCTTAGGGCGTTTAGGGTTTAAGGGTTTATGGGCTTAGGGTTTAGGGTTTAGGGTTTAAGGGTTTGCGAGCGATCAGCCCGCCTGGTGGTAGATGATTCGCACAAGCTCTGATTGCCCTGGTAATCGCAGTTCGTAGGCCTCTAATTATGGGGCGGGACTATGGCACGCCGGAAGTGAGAACCTTTTCCTGCAGACTTCTCTTGATCAATCGTAGCTGCACAAGCACACGACTCTTGCGTGCATGTGTAACAAGCTGTAAGCTTGCATGCCCCGCTCCCCGAAGGAGTTTCTTTGAGATGTCAAAATCAACTCTCTACTTTTGCACTACACGTAGTGTCGAAAGGCTCCAGACCTTGTGTGCGTCGCTTCCTCGCTGACTGCATCAGCGGGTCTTCCACTATCTTCCAGCTGTGCTGCATACGGTAGTAAAGCTCCAATTCCCGTCCTCCTCCAGCTTTCGTTAAGGAGTTTGCCAATTGAGCTTCGGAGTGTACCCAGCGTAGCTGAAGACCTGTCTGCTGTTGGGATTCTTTGAGTCCCAGCATCTCTATATCTGATCTTTTCTCCGCCCCTTTGATCACTATGACCTCGTTCTGGAACTTGTCATAGACGTTGCGTGAATCTGTGATGACACACCCTTCGACTCGGCGAACTGTGTGATCTGGTTGCCGAACATTGTCGTTGCCGAACAGAATCTCTGAGAGTTGGTACCTTGCAAAGTACAAGGCGTCCTCTCCGTTGGTGGCTGCTAAGGTCTCTGCCGCGCCAGGTGAACGGCATGCGCGATCCACCTTAGTCGAGTGCCAGCTGATGGGAGTGATACCCCCCAGCTCGCCTGCCAGTATGGCCTTAGTTCCCAGGCCAACAAAGATGCCCTGAGTGCTGCCTCCATTGCAGCGATTCTGACTCGCTGCGTCCACCCATGCGAACAACATCACCTGTTCCTGAGGATGAAACTTGTGAATCAGCATCTTGTGTTTCCGTCTGGCCTTGGTGTAACTCAGAAGCGTGTTTGTCCTCAGTATGGTGCTCACTCGACTAGTTGCCACTTCTGACAGAAGAAGACTGACCTCAGCGGACAGGTGAGGTGCGGTTTGTTGGGCACACCAACTCAAGGAACCCAATAACGCGCGAAGTTGTCCCTTTTCACGCTCTGTGGTTTCTGCCTCTCGCTCCTTTCGGCGTACAGCACCCACTGGGATCTCGGATATGGAATCGATGTATTGTTCTTGTGAGAGCTCGAAACCTGCCTCGGTCTGTCGGATAAGCACCCCACATTGTACAAAAGAGTCCTCTTCCCAGTCTCCCCATTTAAACTTCACCTTGATCTGGTCCAAGATGGCCTGCCACTCTTTGTCGTCATCACGTCCTCCGAAGAGGAAGTCGTCGACGTGACCTGAGATCATGCCGCGAAGCTGTCCTCGTGGGCGCCATACCCAAGCGCATGCGTCTGACCATAGCCTCTGCAATCCCAGCTGTTCTAGGAAAGAAGCCACCGTGCGGTACCATTCCAAAGGAGCGTCCACCAAGCCGTAACAAGCTTTCCGAAGTCTGGTGACTGATCCCTTTTCCAAGCCCATGGCAGCGCAAATCTCATCGCAGGGTATGCAATGTAAGATGTCGGGGTACTCCCTGCCTTGCAAGAAAGCCCCTGAAACATCTCCTTTGCGCAGCCGCCAGCCTTTCATCGCCGATACCTGCAACATCATCTGACGAGTCTGCCTCGTCATGACAGGAGCTGTGGTATCACGATGTTCGTAGCCAGGGTCTTGATACCCTAAGAGCACCGCCCTCGCCTTCGCCTTGTAGGACCCGTCGTCCCGCAACTTCCATGTCAGGATCCAACGCATGCCAACTGCCTGTTCTTTGGATGGTCTCATGTGTATTGGCACTGCCTCAAACGCTTTAGCCGCAAGGAAATTCTTTACTTCGATAGCTTTAGCCTCTCGAAACTTCTCCAGGTCTTGCGCATTTAACTTTCGCTCACAGACTTCCACAGCTCGTCGTTTGAAGGCGCCAACAAAGAAGTGAATCAAGTCCTGTGTCATGGCATGAATTCCTCGACGACTGTCGGGTACATCCACTTCTACTGCCACGGCCGCATTCTTGTCACTCCAGTAGGAAGACTCCTGCGTGAGGAACGCTTGTTCCTCCACATGCGTCGTCCAGTGTTGGCTGGGCACTTCTCCCACCGTGGGAGCTGCCGAAAGTCTAGGTCTCTGTGGTTCGCTGCCCTCGGGATCCACGTCAACATCCATTTCACTGGCGGCTCGATTGTCGCCTGTTCTGCTGCTTGGCCCTGGCCTCTTCATAGAGATGCGCCTCGTCAGTCGGGGCGGAATTTCCCGCTGGATATCCTGGGCACGCTGCCACTCCTCTACGCTTGGCACCTCCGCACTCACATCCTCAAACTGGTTGCCGCCGATGGCCTGCGACACACGAGTGAAAGTCCAAGGAACACCATCGGACTCCACCATGGACTCCACCAGCTCCTCACGATGTGAAGCGGGGCGTAACTGCTCCGGTGCACACTTGATTAAAGTGCGTCCGCGGACGCACCAGACTGAACTGCCAGGCCTCAAGTCCCCTTGCGAGTCCCTCTTGGTCTCTGTCGCAAGGATCCTTGCTGGGCCGAGGAAACGGCCCTGTTTTGATCCCGGCTTTTTCTTGCTCTGCCCAGATTCTTGTGTACGCCAGTAGAACACAAGATCGCCTGGGGTGTAGTGCCGCGTCGGCTGTGGTCGAGAATGCTGGGCCCGATCGAGTCGCTCCGTGGTCCGCCAATCCACCATCGCCTTTTCCGCAATCGCCTGCCTTTGCAACAGATTCTGGAACTCGCCTGAAGCGTTCGCGGCGTGTAATTCTTCTGGCAGCTGCTGAACTTCTTGTGTCATGCGACCTGTCGCATCCCGGCCACACCCAAATGCTAACTGCATCGGAGAGAAACCCCGAATCACATCCCTCTGGTTGAATGTCAGTATGGCAGTTGCCAAGGCGTTCTCTGGAGTGATTTGATCATCCTCGTCGGCTAATTTGCTCATGACTTCTTTGACGCCCTTTATGGCGCCTTCACAAGCACTCATCTGCCAATGCGCCTCTCCTGGAATGATGTCCAGGTAAATGTGATGTCGATCGGCAAACTCCTCTAGGGCCTTGCTCCTAAAGGCTCCAGCTGGATCTAGTCGCAATGTTTGTGGCTCACCAAAGTACTGAATCCACCCTTCTCTCATGTAATGCAAACATGCTGCCGCTCTAGGAGTCTGCTTTGCACCTCTTGTCAGTATTCGTGCCACTCGATAGCGTGAGTTCTCATCTATTAGACCGGCGCATCTGCAGGGTGAAGTTGGTGAAAGAAGTTATTGATTGAGTTATGGATTTTCGTTTGATCCAAACAAGTTCAGGGTCTCGATTGGAAGGCGTACCGTTGTTGCAGTTTCCTGTCCAGGAGCTTCTGTCAGCGTTGCCAGATCCGTAGGAGTATGGCTGAAGCTGGGCCGTCATCTGGCCCCCCTAGCGTAGCCGTGCGTTTGAAGTTTTTTGCCGGATCCTCGAAGCAATTGTCCCGGGATGAGTTAAGAGAGCTTCTGCATGTTGCCGAAATCTGCAAAGCCTACCTGAAAGAGCGTGCTGTTGAACTCCTCCAGAACAACGCGGGCCAACCTTGCCTTTTCCAGTATTCCTGCGATACAACACCTGTATCTTCGAGGAAATACTTGACACGACAACATGGGAGCATCAAGGTGCAGCGAACTTGCAAGAGCTCATCCGACTATTTTGTTCAGCAAATGTTTTTGTATATTCCGTCGCATGACAATGGCTATCATTGCACGATTCTGTTTCGGGAGCCTTTGCCCTTGGCTTACGGCAAGACAATGAAGGCGCTGTTTTCAGCAGCATGTACTTGCCCAGGCTTGTCCCTCAACGGCGTTGGGCCGGATGTGATTAGCATTCACCATCAGTGCCACGACCGTGCCGTAACTTTCGACTTTGTTGGAAGCCTCTCTGGTTGGTGGTCCAAGCAAGTTGGTGTGTCAGAAGCAGCAGCGGGTCCTGCAGCCGCTGATTCCGACGACGAGAAGCTCTTTGAATGGCATTCCTGGACGGCATGCGCGGCCCATGATGGGCACAACAGCTGCAAGTGGGGTCATCAAGGATTGTTCAATGATTCCTTCTTGTTGGAAAGCTGCTATGTCGGTGTTATGGCCATGCGAGCGTGCTTCCACCACGCCGCCTCGCACTTGGCGGACTGGTTGGTGCAAGTGCTTAGCCCAAAGCGGCAGGATGAACTACCTGCCGTCAGTGATCTTTTTCTGCTGTGGTGTGCACTGGGCATAGACCAAGACATCGCCAAGTTGTTGTCTGAGATGCAACTTTTCTGGCTGGGTGGGACTTTGGTTGTGCTCCACAGTGTTCTCGACGACAGCAACTGGCTCGAGGCCATTTCCACATGCCTGCTGAGTGTATGGCGCCCGCCGGCGTTCACCACATCCAGGTGGTGCACAGTCGGCGCCTCCTGCAGAGGCTTGCTATCCGGATTGGTCACCGGTTATCCAGCTTTTTTGCAATGGCTACACACTGCCGGCAAGCTAGGAGATTACGAATGGCACGGCTGCAAACGCCTGGATGCCAAAGTGTGGCACTTCGCCGCTGTTGTTGGGCTGTCTTCCTACGTTTCTGACAGTTTCTTGGCCAAAGTACTGAAGGATTCTCGAGTGGCCCAGACGCAGCAATCCTTGCAAGAAGTTCTTTGGAATGAGTTTCTATTTTTGGATGTTCTGCCGCAGCAATTTTGGGACATGTTGTCTGGCCCAGTGCAGATGACGTCGCAAGCCGTAAGATCTGGAGTGATAGCTGGAGCTCTGATTTCGTGGAGCTTCCTGGAGTGGAGGGTCCTTCTTGTCGCCAGTTCGCTTCCGTGGCGTTTGTGTTTCGGCAATGTGGAGGCCAATGTGGACGAATTGCTTCAACAAGACGAGCCTCCAGACACTGGAATTGCATTCAAGATCTGGGCTTTGGGTCAGGCCGGTTACAACCGCACTCGCTTGGCGCGTGCGGTGCAGCTGCTAGGCCAGTGCTCTTGGACCAGTGCGTTCACAGAGAAGCAGCACGGGTCAACCAGCGTTGTAAAGAAGCGCCACCCAGATTACGGGGACAATCATTTGACAGCGAGAGCTTTCATACACACGTTTGCTCAGATGCTTCCATCGTCTTCTGCTTGCGACCAGCGGCGACAACAAGTTTTGCAGAAGCTTTGCCGGACTTTGGATATGAATCCAAACAGGATCACCGGCAGGCAGGTGTACCTTGCCCATGTCATGCAAAAAGCGCGGGAGAAGGAGGCCTCCGACCCAAAGCAGCCCAGGTACAACCGAGCAAAGATCATGAAACTACACGGGCAGCAGTGGACTTCACTCCCTGAAGAGTCCAAGGCATCGTGGGATCGACAAGCTGCGTTTGAGAGAAGTGCCACGTGGCAGTCTCGGCAGAAGGAGTGCGACAGTCTCAAGCAGCAGTTGGGTTTGCTTAGCGAAGCAGGTTGTGGTTCTGATTCTAAGGCACCTGGCAGTTCCATTTCACAATGCCGCTTGAGCACGTCTGAGCAATGCAGACTGCAGAGCATGATCGACGACTCCAAGCTCACAGAGAAGTCCGTAGAGAAACTGCGCGCGAAGTCTCTGCAGTGCCCGCCGCCTGTCCCTGACCAGGACTTGGACAGTTGTCTGGGCCATTCGCAACTCCGTCGCGACAGGCCGACGGAGATGCCTGCAACGGCGCGGCGCATTTGCCAGATGAGGGATCACTTTGCGCAGTCTGTTTTCCTTGTCGAGCATCCGCAAGGCCCGCGATTCTACCGGTTTCTCTTTGCTATGCTGAACCCTGTTCGGCTTTTCCTGCTGGATTTGGGTGACCTTGAATGCCCTGTGCCTGCAGTGACTTCTGGCCCTCCGTGCTTCAATCAGCAGTGGCAGGCTTCGGTGCCTTGGCAATGGTCCTTTTTGCCTGGACGGTTTTCATCAGCAGAAGTGTTTGACGTGTCTCCCAATGTCCAGATTGGGGTTTTCCTCCACAGCTGGTTTTCCTCGGAGCGCTCTTTATGCAGTCGTGATGTCCTTCAACCCTTAGACTTGATTCTGGACGCTGCTGCTTCCGAGAAGAAGGTTGCCAAGGAACGCAGTGAGCCATCGCGGAAATCCGTGGTGGCAGAGCCAGATGCTGAGTTGACAGCGCAGTACCCTTGGTTGCGGACTTTTGTGGGCGCAGCTGCCGCCTCGAAAAAAAAGCGGGCTTCTTGCGACTCCGCACCTGAGGATCCTGACAAGTCTGCCCAGTCGCATGCGACGGATGACTGCGAAAGCACAGATGATGCAGATTTTAGCTCTGAGGACATCCAGTATGACGACCTCTTCGAGCAACTGGAAGAGCAGCGATGTGTGATCAATGCGGCTTTCGAGACCTTGGCGGATCAGTTTCGCACCAGCCTCATAGGCGGAGACTGGCAGCTTCGTCGCACCGGGCGGGTGGTGTATGGCGTTAGGATAGATGTCAAAGCTGGCTCCTCGATGGCGGAATTCTGCGCCAAGTTCTCTCTGGCGAAGTCTGCAAGCTTCGAGCAGTCCGTCTACGGGGACGAACCGGGACAGGCATTAGGGAAGCTGTTCATCCATCGAATGTCGTTCTTGATGCAGCTGTGGGAGGACCTCGGAAGGCCAGACCAAGGGATCCCTGCGGACAGGCTCACGGACTACGTGCCCGCGCCTGACTTGGAGACAGTCTTGTCTACAACGACGGGCCGTGTCCAGCAGAGGTACCGCAAGATTCTAGCGCTAGCTCCCAAGGCACCCAGAGCTAGATGAGAGCCATGCCGGCGGCAAAGCAGCAGTGCCAGATGCAGTTTCCAATCTTTTCACTGCTGGCGCTTTCAGCCTTTGACTGCTCATGGACAGCCCTGGCCGCAGGCTGCTATTGTTGCAGAGAAGCCGAGACGGTGGATTTTGGCGTGGATTTTCAGGTAGCGCTCGTGTCACTGGGGACAAAACTTCGCCGCGGACTCCGCAGCAAACTACGCCGCAAAATTCGCCGCCTCGCAGTGACATGTAGTAGCAGCGGCAGTCCTCAACTGTTGCTAGTGAGCCTCATGCTTCTACCTGCCCTCAGTTCACACGACAGCGACATAGAACGTTGCAGCAGAGACCCCTGTAGACCTTGCTCTAAAGTTCTCAATGGCTCGACTTTGCGGCCTGGAGTCAGTAGGAGCGCTTTGCAGCCCTGCCACTCCCCAAAGTAGGACCCAGTCTGAGTTCTGGGCTGCGCCAGGCAAGATGTTTCCGTCCTCTAACTGCACTGTAGGGACCGCATGCAAGTTTGAACGGTTGCAGTGGTCGTGCTGCAGAGAAGGGCCTCTGCAACAGCGTCCAGCGACACATTGATTGCGACATGCTGCTTCTTCAGTGCATCTGCGTGGATGTGTTGAGTGCCCTATACGTCTCTTCCGCAGCCCTGGTGTCAGTGAGACAGGTTGCATCCGTGGTTTTTGTAGCACGTGAACTGTTGGAAAACCCAGTCTTGGTAGCTACTTGCCATGTCGTCCCAGTCCCGTGAGCGCACTCCTCCGCGAGCAGCTTCCAAGCTTGCGGCTGCGTGGCAGGCTGAGACCGAGGGTGTGAAGCAGCCGCGTCCCAAGAGGGCGCAGAACGTCGACAGTCAAGTTCGGAAGGCCATCACTGACAACCTTCGATCCATGACTCCTACAGAGTTGGATGGAATCTTAGTGGAGGGTCTGACCTGTCGCCAGCGCCTCAAGCGCGACAAAGCCCAGGCCAGCGCTGCGGCAGGCAGCATCCAGTTTGGCAAGCACTACTACACTAGGCTTCGCTCCATGTACGCAGACAAGCAGAGTGTGCAGCAGAAGCTTCAGCCGGATCCGGCTTTGGAGGTGCAGCCAGCCTTGGTGCGGGCAGCGACTGCTGCGATGGGCCACCCACCATGCCGATCGCACATGGTGCAGTTTCTGGAGCGAGCTTTGAGCTTGAATCAGGCGGAGATCTGCGGAATCTATAGGTGGACTTTGACTTTGCATCCGGCCGGCTCTGCTGATCAGCTGGAGGCGTGCAAGAGCGTTGTGGCTTGCGCTGCACGCCGCAAACTCCAGGCGTCAGCGGGTAAAGAGATTGCCTTGATGCTGGACAAGTTTGACGAGATTCTCTTGCAAGTCCCTGGCCTAAAATGGATACCTGTAGCCTTCCATAGCCATATAGTCTGTAAGCTTGCTGCACCGCGTATGCACCCCTAAAATCCCGTAGCTGTCCTGAAGTAGACCTTGCATTGCGGCAACTTCTGTAAAATCTTCGGACGTGCACAAAGCCTTCAAGTTTCAGTTGCACTCCTTGTAACTTGAAAGCTTGTACCCTAAGCCCGATAAACCCAATAAGAATTCCATAAACCCGAACATTATGCATCCCGTGCGCTTCTTCGGTTTTACATTCGTTTCCGTGTACAACCTCGCAAGTTGTAACGTAGTTTCTGCAATCGGCCTCTCAAACTTGTAAAGTCACGGCTAGACACTCAACCTATTTTAAAACTGTTTCGGCCATGACACCGTAGCTTGCAAGGCGTTCCTGTCCTATGCCAAAGCTGGCTTGGGACCTGTTGATTGGCTCTCCAACCATGATGAGATGTGGCCGCTTGTGCTGCCCAAGGCCGCGACTCAGAAGGTTCTTGAGCTGGGCCCTGACGGATCATGGTTGGATGTCGCTGAAGAGCTCGCAGAAATCACGACAAGTTCTGCGCTTGGGAAGCAGCTCTTCGGCTTCGCAGCTAGGCAAGTGGTTGGCCTTCGCTTGGACAAGCTTGTGGCAGAGCAGGTGGACAAGGCATTGACCAGAAACCCCATCACGGCGGAGGTTGTCGCCGAAGTTCGCAACACAGCGATGATCCAGGTGGAGAGTTTGGCAGAGGCCGACGTCTTGAGCGGGCGGAGGACTGTCAACATCTCCTACCGAGGCTGCGCCATCACTGCTAAGACGACCTGCGCCGCGGAGCACTTCGACTTTGCACTTCAGGCGGCCTTGCGGGGGGCTGCCGCAGTGGCAGGCAACATCCCAAGCTTGCCGGCTGAGGACCAGCTGTGCACTGGGATCACGCGTGTGGCGAAGGGCACAAAGGTCGAGGCAAAGCTGTTCAAACATGCCAAAGAATCGCGGAGCATGGCGCTGGCTTTGATCAAGGCCGAGGATTGCAAGAATGGTGAGTCCGTCCAGGCCCGGCTCCCCTTCCGCGAGATGCGTCTAGGTCCAGGTCAATCGGTGTCTCACATGAATCTAACGTAAAGTAGTGCAGCATACAACCTTACAACAGTTGTAGTGGTAGATGCTGACGTAAGAACAACTTACAATGTCCCCTAAGGCCCTCCCGAAGGATTCGAAATAAACTTAAGCCTAGAGCCCTATGAAACTCAGAAGTTTTCTCCCGATGTCCATGGCCCTAGCTTTTCGTCCTTTGCTTTTATAGTAGCCCCTGAACCGAGCAACTGCTGGGTTGTTTTTGGGCCAGGAGGTGTTGGAAGCATCGCGGGCGCGCTTGCTGTCCCTTGACAAGCATGTTTGGATCGATCTTGCTTTTCTCGCCAATCTGGCCGGGGAAGGCGGGCGGAAGAGGCTGCAGGACATCTACATGGATACGTGTGTGCCTTCGCAGACAAAACTCATGTCTCTCCAGCGGGCAATCCAGTGCAGCACGAAGCTCATGGAGTCCGACCTCTACCGCTACGTTTCGCAGGGTTCGCAGGGCATCATTGCTGCTGCCCATTCGATGCTCGATCGGATCGTGCAGGGCATGCCAGTGTCCATCGACCAGAATGCGTCAGACTTCCTCAAGCAAGTCTCCAACTCTTACAGCTGCTTCATCGTCCACGTCGCAGGCCACGAGACCAAGTACGACGACGAGGGGCTTCTCGTGGTCCCGGACAACGCTGAAGTGACTGTGGGCAAGGCCGCGCTGTTGCTCAAGTGGAAGGCTGTGGAGTCCGAGGCCGTTGAAAACCTCGCCTTGAAGCAGATGGAGGCGTTTGTCACATGGGGCCATTTTCTCCCCGACGACCAGCGTCAGCAAGCTCACTCCAAGATTGAACAGATCTTGAAGGCGGCTAAAGGTAAGCGCCAGGGTGTCACCAAGAAGTCTGCAGCACCGAAACAGGGAGCTGCCAAAAAGGCTCCTCATTCTGCACAAGCAGATGCCAAGGAAGCCGCGATGTCACTTTTCGCTTGAGCCCTCCATCTCAGGGTACTGGAGTCAGCTTTGTTTTACGGTTCGAGCCTTGCACTTTAGTCATAGAGGGTTTTCGCTAAGGTTGCGGGTTGCTTTTCGGAGTTATGGTTGGAGTGTTGTAGCCTTGTCGCAAACTCTGGGTAAGAGATGTTGCTCGAGCACATGGGGGCTGTAGGGGGAATACGAAACGATGCTCAGGGGTTGAGCATCACGTGTGTACAGACAGGAATCGCTGCGCACTCAGCTCTGACACTGAAAAGGCTCCTGCTGGTGTGATTTGCGCAGAGCCCATCCATGAGGCGATATTCGCATTCAGCAAGAGGCATGGTGCACTTGCAAGCCATTCGTCGTTGTGTCTACGTTGAGCTGTGATGCAGCACATAACCGAAGTTTGAAGCTAATATCTCCACCACCCGGCACTGTTAAAGAAAATCCTCTCAGAAAATCCATGCCGCAACTCTCACAGCATGCCAGCATTACATCTATCAACAGGAGAAATTGCACATGCTCCCCCGTTGTGGGATGCCGCCAGTCTCCCACATCGCCCGCCAGAGTACTCCATCTAGGGGGCAGGGGTTCAAGTGATGATACATGGCGTGGCGTCACATGACGCTTCTCAGCACAGATGGGACATGAGAAATCTTGTGCCAACTTCAGAACACTTTCACTAGCGCCGCGGCGTCTTAAAGCAGTCACAAGGTGTCTCGTGGATCCGTGCCCAGTAGCCGCATGCAACTTGTACAAACTGCGCTTGATTCTCTCCTCTTCTTTCTGGCTCAAAGGATGCACTCCGGAACTACTGCTCGACATGTCCGCCACTTGCGCACTCTGACATGTACCGCACACTCTACTGCGCACATCGGGAACTTCAAAGCCCTTACGTCCCAAAGCCCTCCGAACACCCGAAGAAACCCTCGCAACCCCACGACTGACAAAACCCGTCACCGTTATTCGCTCTCCGACCCAGGCCTGTGTCTCGTGCCACTGCTTGGGGTAGAACTGGACCACTTGGTGCCGCGTTGGGTGGCTGTGGCCGCCGAGAGAGCTGCCGTCGGGCAACACCTTTGTCGTGTGATTCTGATGTCCGTTCTCTGGCCTATGGTCGCCTACCCAGAGTTCGCCTCCTTTGTAGGGTCCTAGGTCCTAGGCCTATCAGGTGATTAGGGTACTCTCCACTGTTGTGGAGGTCTCGGTGAAGGGGGAGCCTGGAGCCAAAGTTGATAACAACTGAGGTCCACTTCGCCTCGTTGCCACAATGGGCCTTCAAGTAACCGTTAAGATACTTCACAACATGAGGAAAACGTACTGTGTTTTGGGTCACTCCATACATTGCTCCGTGCGCATACATGCCGAAGGTAATGTACGTAGCACATGACTGCTTGGCCATATGGCGCTTCGTCTTGAGTTGTTCATGGGGGATAGTTTGGAGAAGTTGTTCGCACATGTCATGTGTAAAGTTGTTTTGTTCGCACAATCGCTTCGCTAAAGCTTCACACTCCTGAAGTCCCTCGCAACTTTCACAGAGTTCCTGAACCTCAACCTCGCCGTTATCCCCTTCCGAATCTCCGAAGAAACCCAGACCCTGATTTGCCACGTCACCACCTGCTGTCCACGGTTCTCGGAGTTTAAGGTTGGTGGGATTAAGGGGTTGTAAGGTAACATCGCCCTCTTGCAGAAGGCACCACGCACACTGACTTTCCTTGCTGCTCTGGGCTCCGCCGTCGCACGTGCATCGAGGGCCTTCTCCGAAACCCTCAAGAAGACTACTTTGTCCCTGACACTCTTGCACAACACCCTGGTGATTCAACTCCTGCAACAACACAGAAACCACTCGCTTAGCATATTCCGAAGTGTAGTCGCCGCTCTGCTGCAGAAGCCTACTCTCACCTCGTGCATGCTGGTAGTTACAGGGACAATGGCAAGGCATATGCATGACCTCCGCGAGTCTCTGATGTGTGGTCGCTATCTTCCAACCCTTCTGCAAGAAACTACCATGTTCCGACTCTCGAAGATTCACTCTACACCCTTTCGTGGTAGCAACATGTAAACCAAGGTCCCGCAACATAGACTGTATCACTGGGAGTCGCCAGGCTTGACATCGTTCAGGCCACTCCCATGTCGCATGTATGCCGCTCTGTGAACAGAAAAACATGACCTTAACACAACCCTTATACAACTTCATCGCTACGCGTCGTTTCTCCTGGAGTTCAGCTTGCTGTTTCGGGTTCTTTTGATTAAGGTTCTGCATAGGACTAAAGGCACCTCCAGGGGGCGCAATCCACACATGTTGGGGTCGAAGCTGTTGTATTTGTTCCAACACAAGCGCTAGCCGCTATTCCTTGGGGAGTTCCTAAGTCACAATGATTCCACTCTGCACATTGCAAAGCGGCACACTCCTTCCCAGTCTGTTGTTGCACAGTTCGGGTTAATATGCTACTGCCAGAACATGCTACCTGCATCAGCACGGGCCGTTGTGCTCCAACGAGCTCTTGCATAAGTCCAGGCACTAGGGCCCAGGCTTGTTGTTCTAAGTGTCGGGCCGCACTTTCAGGCAACATCTTCTGAGCTCCGGGCTCTACAGGGGCCTCGCTCACGGCTTCTTGTGGCCCCGACCCTTGCCACTCTCCGAGACCATGCTGAAGCTGTCCGGGGAGATCACTTCGTCCTCGGATTTGCTCGCTTCCGCCTTTTTGCGGCGGGGCTCCGGCACCAAGGCAGCCATCTCGGTCTTCATGATCTCCATGGCCTCCGTGAGTTGGCGGATCTTCTCGCTCTGGTCCTCGTGACTCCCCGAACTTGTCGCTGGATACGAGCTCCGGGTAGCTGGTTTGCGCGCCTTGGCCTTTGTGGTTGGATAGCTCTTCTCCTTCGTCGGCTGATTGCGAAGCCATCCTGCCAGCCTCTGCAGACGGTAGTCCGATTCCTTGCCGTTCTCGTGAGCGGTCTGTAGCACCCATTGGCAGTACTCCGGCCACTCCTTCATGATCTCCTCGTAGGATAGGCTCGCGTGACGCCCGAATCCCACTGGGTCCATTCCCGTTGCCGGGGACAGGTCGTAGATCTTGCGGATGGCCATATTCTGGATGTTCCTCACGGTCATGTTGGGTGAGATCATCAGCCCGAGCTTGTCCTCGGCATACGTCACCAAGTCGGCCTTCTTCCGGGAGGCCTTGTTCATCTCCGTCATCATGGTGGCCAGTGGTGGCCGCGTTCGACCACTGGGAATCTCCTGCCCCAGTTCCTCCACCAGCCCGTAGATGCGAGCCTTGATCTCTGCCTTCCCCCACTGTGTGGGACACTCCTCCCCGAGCTTGCCCAGGTGCTCTTGCAACTGGCCCTTGTTCATCTTCTCGATGGCGCCCTTGGTCACTGGAGCCGTCGACATGTAGATGACACGCTGGGGGGGATTCGCGAAATGGTTCTGTCTGGCTTGGACCTGCGCAACCTTCCACGATAGGGTCCCGCGATTCTCCACTCACGTGTAATGCAAAACGAACCCTTCTACACTGCTCACTACTCCTACTTCCTACTTTTGACATCTCAAAGTCTGTACATGAAACATTAACATTCTGCCCTGCTGCACTGCGGTCCTCCCATTTCCCGTCAGGGGCCGGTGATGGGAGGTGCTGTCCCTACTCCTTGGGCAGATACGCATCTAAGCCTGGAATCTTCTCCCGGGCTGTGAAACTGCTACTCCACCAGTTCTCTGTCAGGGGCAGGAGCTGATGTCCGGTCTGGGACCGGGCAAGCTTGAGGATTCGGTTCTCATCAAGGGCCCTAAAGACTGCCAAATCGTTGTCAAAATCTATGACGGCTTTGAGCCGTCGCAATGTGTCGATTGAGAACAGCACTGGCCCTGTGCCTTGCCCTAGAGCGTGCACGCTCAGCTCACCTTCATGATTCCCAGCCTGAACTCCCAGCTTGATGGTCGAGAGGCAGCGATTCTCCGTGGAATTGCCGAATCCAAACAGGGGCCGATTGTCCCTGTCCACCTCCTTCAGCTGGTTCTTGCCCCATTTCCGGTGGTTGATCGCGAGGATGTTTTCCAAAGCAGTCACACTTCCTAGTGTTTTCGTTGCCCCTCCGTCTATCACTGCATAGCCGGCCTTCACCGCGTCATGTGTGGTCATAGGCGTTGCCGCTGACCAAGCCGCCTGAGGTTCGATCTCGTCCGAATAGTAGTTGCATCCATGTTCCTCCTCAGGCGCTGTGCTGCAACAGACAAAAGGAGCTTCCTCTTCTGCACTGTTCGCTGCCTGTGTGCCTGCTGGCTTATAGGCGGGTTGGGGCAGTGGGCTGCCCTATGGCCCACTTTCCCGCAGGCGAGGCATGTCATTCGACTGTCGTCGGGCGCATATCCAGTACTCCCTCTTCCCCCAGAGGAAGGTACCTTGAAATACTTTCTCGACTGCTTGACTTGTAACTGCTTCATCCTCGCTTCCCGCAAGGTTCTCTTTGCCTGGGCAGCGGCCACGAGCGCCGTCTGCGCCTCCTTCTCCGCCTCATCCCGTGCTGCTAGACCCTCCTCGGTCCAGCTATCCCGATCTCCGTCCGAGAGAGCGCCATCGTCCCCATCAGAGATGTCCTCCCCAATGAAGCTGCTGGCCCTATGGTGCTGATCATGCTTGCGGACCTCGGTTTCAGGAAGCTGATTACGGAGTTCCTGGGCCACTTTGTCGAACGCAAAATCCCCTGCCAGTGCCGTCTGCACCAAATTGCGCTCTGCCAAACTTAGGCCCGCATCCTGAAGTAACAGCCACCCCTGCACGAAGTCGGGTAGGATTGCCGGAGCGGTGTCTACCGCCTCCGTCCTTGCGTACCAGTCCTGCTGGTTCCACTGTGACGGCCAACTCTGGTTCCCGTAGTACTGGTTATCCCTGTTCCAAGAAGATCCCCACCATGAAGACCACCCGCCATAGCTATAGTCTGAACCCCAGTTGTCCCAACCAGAGCTCGAGTTACGGGCGCGCCCCGTGGATGCTGCGGTGGTCTCTGCTTCA